AATTTTTTAAATTCAAAAAATAACGATAGACACTATCATAAAACGATGGACGGGACAATTTTTCAAAATTGGGTGGTTAATCAGCTCATTCCTGCTTTGGCAAAGTTGAACCAAAAATGTGTGTTGGTTTTAGACAATGCACCGTATCATTCGGTTCAGTTGGATAAACCACCGACTTTTTCTAGTAAAAAATGTGAAATGCAGGAATGGCTCTTTAAATATAGTGTTGAATTTGACAAAAAATTTTCGAAGAAACAGTTGTGGGATTTAATTAAACCCTTCAGGAACAATAGAAAAAAAAGATATTTGGTAGACGAGACATTAAGAAAAAGTGGCCATGAAGTTCTTAGATTACCTCCGTACCATTGTCAATATAATCCAACTGAAATGGCGTGGAGATTTTGTAAGAACTATTACAACAAGCATATAAATTCTCAACTTTCAGTAAAAAATAGGGTAGAGAATTTATGGTTTGAGGCCATAAATGTACTCCAAGCATGTGGCAAAATGTTTGTAAACATTGTGAAAAATTTATTTTGGCAGATTGGAAAAAAATATGGGAAATCTTTCGTACGAATCTACACCTCCTTTCACTAGTTCGCTAGGTGAATCTGATTCAGAATCTGAATTTGAAAATGACAGTGATGATACAGATTTTCATAGCGAAATAATGGAAATGGAGTGAATCGTAGCTTGTCGGGGGGTGATATTTTTACGCATCTTTCGTTGTAAATTTACCAAGATAGTATGTGAAAAACTACCTGACGTACAACAAAATAAGTATAATTTTAGTTAGATCATCCACGTAGTTACTTTGCGCCAAATTTTAAGTATTTTCATTTTTTTTTTGTAACTCTTCATGGACCTGGAGAAGGCGTATAGTAACGTTGTTATTAATAAGCGTTTGGAAGTACTTAGTAACAGCAAATAAAGAGCACTTACGTAAGCATTGGTAATAGCTATATAGGTAAATCATACAATTTAAGGCCGGAAAAATGTTTCAGAAGAGTTAAACCCATCAAAGCACTAGAGCAAGGTTGTTGTCTTTTGCCAACCCTTTTAGTAATCTTAGAAAAGTGAAAAAAGAAGTTGGAAGGTATGGAAATAGGCTGTTCACAAAGGTCGAAATTTCCATTTCTAAGAAGAGTGGGCGAGCAGAACGAACTGATGATTGAGAATTAAAGATGAGATGCTAAATGTGGCATGTGACAGTAGTCATATGTAGAACCCCCAATCATATAAAAACAATGTTTAAGTGAAATTTTAGTGTTTATTCCTTATATATGAAATAAACGCTTACAAAAAGCCGAATAATTGTTTTAAATAGCGTAAAGTTTTATGCTTTCTAAGAAGAGGATACCGTTAACTTGGTCATTGCTACTGAAAACTGAAAGTATCGGCAACAATGTTTATATTTTTGGCATATTTTTTAACCTTTAGTTTAATAAAACATAACCTAACGAAAAAAGTTCAAGGAATTTTTATTCTTCTGCATCGAATACCAACAAACTCACTAGATTTTCGTGGCCAACCCTACTATATGAAGATCGTGAACGGATAATATATAGGCCCAGTATAACAATATTCTGATTAGTTAATTCAACTACACAACATTCAATGGTCTTTATGAGAGAATTAGCCGACGCATATGACGAAATTTTACTTGAAATATTTTCCCTGACAAAGATTCTTCCCGACAAAAGAAGCCTACAAGTTTATAGTTGTCAATGTTGTACCTTTGAATTCTGCTTTAATTCATCCAGTGTTCAGTTAGGACCAGTACATTCTCAGAATCCGATAGATTTTTTAAAGGCAGAATTTTGTTGCTTAAGTTTTGAACATTTTGGTGGACAATTCTTATACAGGCGACCTCGGTGTTATCCTTTTCTTTCCAAAGAAATTAAAACGGCGAACATGAACCCCTTTTGGCCAGAATTCACTTAACGACAACTCTTCTAGAAGTTTGATGGGGGCACCTATTTTGAAGGGGGCTATAATCACCTTTACTATTTAGTTTTTCTATCACAAAGTCATCGTCTGGGAACACTAACTTTGCCTATGAGTTTTTGGGATTTTTCCACGTCCTCCTAGAGGGCCTTTATTATTTTCTATCAGTGAGGGATCATCGTGCGGTGTGTTTATTGATGTCTATTAGTGTCTGTGAGCTTTTATCAACGTTAGTGAAGGTGATTCCAGTTTTTTGTTGTCAGCATTGCTTTTTTCTGGTTCGATTGATATGTGATTTTTAAACTCCTGCGACTGGCGTCGCAGCTCGTCTACTTCAGACTTGAGGAGGGCATTTTCAACTTCTAAAACCGTAACTTTCTGGGACGTAGCACTTTGTTGAGCTTCGTCAGATTTACGTAATGTAATTATTATCTGCTCGCATACATAATTACAGAGATTTTCTTTGAAGTCCTTGCTGGGTACAAATTCCGTCACCAAATTTTTTAATTCGGTAGAACTTCTAGTGACCTTTAAGTTAGCCACAGTCACCAAAGCACGATATTTATGGTAGTAAAGGGAAGACACTTAAATGCACGGCTGCACACGACCACACCACACGATTTAATTTAGATAATAGAACACACATTCAGGTGACTCGTTAAACAATCCCTTTTTTCTATGATAAAATAGATGTATTATACATCAAACTGTGGCTTCTTTCATGTACTAAGCCTATGAAAACAGTTCAATCAACCAAAAAAATATTATTGAAAAATGTCGTAAAAAAGGCACCATTGTCTTCTATTTTTTCCTATTTTTAGTGTATTAAACTTCATAGAGTCACTTGAGAATCCTCGAACTGACAAAATAACGTATTTTAAAGGTTCCTGTTTTATTAAATATTTGTTAGTAGTACAATTTATTTAAATAATAAATGATTTTAACAGGAGTAGTAGTGGAAAATTAGTGATACAGTCTTTTGCAGAGTCTTTACAAAAAACAAACAATTATTGAAAAAAAAATAGTTTGAATTCAACACGGTTAGGCAAAAACCTTTCTGAGAAGGCTGGTAGCCTACCTAAAGTTATTAGTAGCGTTCTTGGTTGATTTTTCAAATTTATCTCAACGAATTCGATTTTATCCGAGTCGTCCCGAAGAATGAATGCTAAACTGTCGATTATTATATAAGAAACTGGTAGATTTGGAGGTATATAATAATATTTCTAGTCCATGGTAGATTAAGAATGTACGTACTATTTTACGATCACTTAAGTTCATTGTTTCCATGTCAGGGTTATCTGAAATATTTTAACTATAACCGCAGTCAGGTCAATGTACCTACGTACATTTTTAGCGATATATTTTTTTACGAATACTTTATCTAAAACAAATTTGTTTCATAGACGAACAGATTTTTTTTTAATTACTAAAATCTTGATAAACAATTTATCATATTTCTGATTATCTTAAGACGTTTGTAAGATTCCAAAGTATTCGGGTTTGCAATTTCAAAGTTAAATCCTAATTGCTACACAGTTTTCATTATTTTCACAAAAATCTGGGATTTAGAATTTTTCCTTCCACAAATCTGGATGTCTAGGGTAAGAACTCAACACGGATGTATAAACCACAAGTGCAGTGTATGTTATTCTATAAAATGTAAAGAACATTTATTCGACAAAATTTTGCGATGAAGTCTTTAATTTTTTGGGAAGGGATACCAGGACAAATTTTGGTTAACCTTTTCCATGCTTACGATAACCGGTTTTGCAGTCAGATATATATGTGCAAATGACCTAATATGCAATAAATTATTAAAATCAAGTCAATGAAGAAAAGCATCCAAGTGTTTAGGGATTATGAAAACCCACAGTGAGGAGGCGGAGCAGTCTATATCCCTCAACAACACTTTTGCCTGCGATACTATACAATTACTGCACAGATCTTTCTTTGGTAAATGGGTTATTAGTGAAAATTCTAATAAGTTGTGTAGATTCAAAGAAGAAAAGTAAAAGAACATCTGCCCAAGTATTAAAAATGTATATTTACATACCAACGGAAGAGCAGTGAATTTTATTTACATTCTTTGAAAAAAAAAAAAAAACAAATAGCAGTTGGAACTACACATATTAATAAGAAAAAAATATTAACAAAGTATTTATTTATATTTTTCTTAATAAAAATCTAACAATTATCAATAATACTGAATCTACCTACTCCATTTTAGCGACGATTTTGATCGCGCTGTCTACAATATTAGATCAGTTTTAGAGTAGCCCCATTTATGAAAATGTGCCTTTTTTATTGAATTCAGAAATTTTCTTAAATGATGTGTCCTTTTTTACATAATTCATTACACAGAACAACAATTTGCATATTTTAATATGTCATACTGTTTGTAAGTTGCTCGAAGAGTTTGATCATGTGAGTCTTTTTGAAGTTGGGGATGGGGTGAGATTAGACAATAATAGTAATGATAGAAGTCTTGCCTGAATGCCGGTCATTTCCGGGTCAGTGGTAACAAATAAAAAAACTTTAATTATGCATCATCTCCAAATAACTGGTGACATTATCTTAAAAAGTTTTGAATTATGTATTTATAATAATAATGTGCATCCGGTAAATACCGTATAAAAATTATTCAATAATTTGTATATTAAAAAAATCCTTGCAAGGATATATACACACATTACCGGATTACTGGTATTTGGTTAGATTAATGTTTCCAGTTTTCTCAGAAAAAGACCGTCTATAACAATTAAGTACTTAAAAAAATAAATCTTTTAAGAAAATTACTCAGACATGCAGAATTTTGTGCTTCAAGGACGAAGGAAGTCTGTCTAAAGAATTTTAAACCACTTTTTCTTAAGCTGAGAAGAAGTAGATGTTAGAGAGGAGACGTGATTTTAAGCCTTTTAAATATAGGTTGCGTGTATAACATAAAAAATTTTTCCTTGTTCCAAAAGTTGGACTACTAATGTCGTTTGGTAGCTATTATTTTTTTTTTGCTTCCACCACATTATTCTCTTCATTCTCGGCATCACGTACAGCCTTAAGTGTTTGGATTTCACTCGCTGTTCAGTACTTAACAGTGCGCGCGATGCCCGATGCCGCTTAATTATCGACGACAGTGGTAGTGAACATAATAATTTATATTTAATCATTGTGACGTTATATTTGAGGTAAGTAAAAAATTTCAACAAACTAATATATAGGTTACATGAATTTGAAAAAAAAAAAATTAAGTAATATAGATATTTTTAACGTCATTCGTTTATTGTTTATTTTTTTTTAATTATGTTAACAAAAAAGTTATTTGTGTAATTAGTGAGCCAACAAATGAGATACACAATTTTTCATAAAACCGGATTTTTAACAATAAAATAATTTTAAATAAGTGATTTATAATGGAACAGATATGTAAGTACTGTAATTATTGGCACGCATTTAAAATACGTCAACGTCCATGTAGTACGGAAAATATTTTATTTATTTTATGAAAATAACAAGAACAATTCATCATAACAAACTTTGATAACACGCATTTGTTGTTGAGATTGTTGTTGTTCCCATGGACTCTGAACGAGTTCGTCTGATATCTCCAAAAAAAGAGTACTTACGCTCAAGTGTTTTTAAAATTCGTCAGTAAGAACAAAAAACACAGCTAATAGACGTTTACTTTTGTCAGTTTTATTCTGTATTGTGCAGACAGGATGTCACTGGATATCGAGATTAAATCTGAGCTGGATTTGAGCGACCCGAGTGAAGAACTTTTGAAATGGGCTAAAAAAAATATTAGAGAAGATCCGGACACTAGATGCCAAACGTTAGAGGAATTTAAGGATTTGATATATTGTAAGTATTATGTAGCAGGCAACTAACAATTAAAAATGGCTTCTACATGTTTTGCTTGATTATTTTTGCTCGTAGATGTTTACATGTCACTTTATCATCCGTTTGGAAAAATATTTTATATTTCCATAGAGGAAATAACTAGAAAGCAGGTTTGCCTTATATAGCTCAGAGTAATGCGTTATCATCCGTAATGAACTAAATAAATCAAAAACACATGCGATATGTCAGTCATAACCTTCAGTAAATGCGCTCATTTTTTTTTCCTAATTGTAATCATACATCTCTACTTTTCTGTAATTACGGTCTAGCCATCTGGTTATTGTTTATAAATAGTTACCACTCATCAACTCGAAACTGTCGCAGTGAATTTGTGCGAGAGCAAGGACAGTACCTTCTGAAAATTTTTAATTATTTGTAACAGTATCGAGATATTAAAAAACTGTGTCTAACGGTTAAACAAGGAAGTCGGCCAAAGTTGCGAATGTTATATCATAAACTGATAACGCAGTCAAAGAACTAATTTACGGTCGGTACCACAGTGGAACTGGATTTTACCTTGACCTCCGTCGATGTCTATTTAGCTTCGCCAAGTTCATTCTATAATAATTCCGCGAATAAAACTTCACAAAATTACATCACGCACAACCTGAAACTTACTTTTTTCATTTCCATTTAGAGCGCATTTTGTTTAGCAAGCAAACAAAAAATAATTATGACATTGATAATTCCTAATGGCTTTCTTCAGTTGAAAACAGTACGAAGACCTTGTTACCCCATGCTATAACTAATTTATCATACAACTATTCATTTGTTGATGTCACATAATGTATTTTTTGCAATGAAATTAATTCAGGAGGTTTAATATTACTATTTGTTGCTACTTTTGTCGATGAATTAAATAAACACTTATTTTTAAAATGCATTAATACATAATGCCAACATGACAAGTTTTTTTACCTCAACATGATAGCTTTAGAAAATTGTTTTTTTTATTTTCTTAAAAAATTAATTGAATCGACACCAGTGAGTACCTGTGTATTTTTCCCAAAAGCAACCTCGAACTATCAATGTACAAGTACATACAACGACCGATTAGATGATAACAAGCTAAAAATGTGGGTAGTTGTAAGTACCTCCAAATATTTTTAAGCGACTTTTAACTTAACTATAGCTTGGAACATCACAATTTCGCTTATATCCAACGTATGTGGATGCACAAGTCGAAAAAGGCAATGAAATTTCTCGAAAAAAAAGCGTTGAAAATTGCCCGCTCTTACCGACAATGAACATTACATCACCATTTTTTTTTTATTTAAACAACAATGTAACGCAAAGTGATTTCTCTTTATTGAAGTATATTCGACTTTTACCTTTGTCACTTAACACTTCCAACGCTGGGTTCACGAACCAAGCGTGCGAAGAACAAGTACCGTTCATCGCAAGTCATAGTGATTAAACTTGATGAATCGCTTTCTATTTTTTTCAGCCAATTCGTGCAGTTATTCTTCATGAGTAATGTTGTTATGTAAGTACGCTATGCATAAACAATTAAGCGAGAACAATTAAATTGAAGTTATTGCGGTTATTAAAAATTTCTTCTTACCTCGGGCAGCACTTCTAAGTAATGAAGCAAACACTGATTGTAAAAAAGTTGATTCCATCTAATCGTAGTGTCAATGTTACACTTGTATTGAACAAAGAGAAAATTATTTTTTTTTTTTGAAAATGTAAATAAAACGAAACTATACCTCAATCGAGAATCACAAGATTTATGACTTTTCAAACCCCCAAAAAGTTACTCCCTCATGTTTTTTTTTCGAGTCTATTGGACGACTGGATACTTTGTTTTTCGACGTTTCATGAACCTTAAAGTATGTACGAAAAAATAGGTCGCCCGTTTCTGTCTGTCTGTCTGCCGTCTGCCGAAGGTTTTTTCGACATATAATCTCCGAAATTATTCGATCGCTTGTTGTCAAATGTTATATTTGTATGACGTCATCTCCAAAATTTACATTAGTAAATATTATTCCAATTTTATAAAACAAGATATTACTTCACATGTGGTTTATGAATCCGTATTGAATTATTATCTGGATAACCAAATTTGTAGAAAAAAATCAAAATTGTATTATAAAAAAATACTTTGAAATTGTAAAATCGAATATTCTGAATTCTTGCAAACGTTTTAAGGTTATTGTAAACGTGGTAACTAGTTAATAAAAATTTTTTATTCGTTTATCCCCTACCAAGAAACTGATGACTTGAGCTCAAAATTTGTCCGAGTAATCCTCTCTGAAATTTGGAAAATATTATGACTCTATAATTGTGGTTTATCCATGATTTTAGAATTATTTATACATTTATCATAAAAAAAATAAAATTCGCAAAATCATAACTTACAATTTTTCGAAAAATCTGGATCTAGATACCTTGGACCAATTTTTTTATGTCACAATTTTTAGTTTTTACTTTTTCTCCAATTTTACAATTTTTGGATATCACAATTTTTCGTTTATTCGTTTTCTGAATTTTTAAATTTTTTCCATTTTTCAATGTTTCGGTTCCATAATTTTTTGCTTTTTCTATTTTAACTTTTTCAATTTTTAAATTTTTCGATATTACAATAAAACAAATTACAAATTTTTCGATTTTTCAGTTTCTCAATTTTTAATTTTTTGATTTTTTTATTTTCCGTTCCCGCATTTTTCAAGTTCTTGGTTTTTACATTTCATTTTCCCGACATTTTAGTTTTTATTTTCTCGATTTTATATTACAGTTTCTCGTTTTTTAGTTTCTTTTATTTGTCAACGTTTCTTTCAATTTTATAGTTTTTTCTTTCTTCTTTTTTCTTTTTTATTGTATCATCTTAAGTTTTTATGTACGACTTATTTATTTTATTCTTAGGTTAGTTAAGTTATTTATCAGTATGCACTGTTAGCTAACCTTTTATTGTGCAATAAACTTATCTTATCTTGTCTTATCTTACTCAATTCGTTAAATTTCTTTTTTTGTTTTCTTCATTTCCTCGTTTTTCCAACTTTTTAATTTTTCAATTTTGCGGTTTTTGGATTTCTCAATTATTCCATGTTCCGATTTCTTTAATGTTCAATATTTCGATTTTACAATACATATTTCGTTTTTTCCATTTTGGACTTTTTCGATTTTGAGGTTTCTCAATTTTTAATCCTTTGATTTTTCAATTATTCGCTCCTCCAATTTTTCAGGTTCTTGACTTCCAATTTATAGATTTTTCATTTTGTGTTTTTTCGTAATTTCATTTTTGATTTTTCAATTTTACAATTTTGCAGCTTTGGCAATTTTGGAATAGAAAGATGAAAAAATTGAAAGATCGAAAAATTAAAAATAGAAAAAAATAAAAAATCGGAAAAAATTGAAAAATTCGAAAAAGTGGAAAATCGAAATTACAAATGGAAGAACTGAAGAAAGGAAAGATTGAAACAACATTGAAAAACCGACCATTGAGAAACTTAAAAATCGAAAATAAATGAATCGAAAAACTGGGAAGAAGAAATACGAATCATATCGAAACATTGGAAAACCCAAAAATTGTAAAATCTAAAAATTATAGAATGTTCAAAATGGTAAAGTCGATAAACATTGAACACTGTCACAGTGAAAAATAATATATATATGTCCAGAAATTCATAAATTAAAAATTGAAAAATCAAATATAAGAAAAAGTTTTAAAATCCAATGACTGAAAAATTTTGAAATCGTAAAATTGAAAAAGTGAAACATTTTATTTAGTAATTATTATATTACATATTTAAAATGGAAACCAAAGAAATTGCGTATAAAAAATTGAAGAAACAAAAAATTGAAAAAAAGAAAAATGATTAAATCAGAACTTTAAAAAACCGACAAAATGTAGAAATAAAAGAAATAATAAACAGAAAGGAAAAATTGCAAATAAAAAAATTGAAAAAATGAACAACTGAAAAAATGAAAAATTGAAAAATTTAAAAATGAAAATTCGTTACAGAGTTACATATCCTAAAACTGAAGAAACAAATACAATGAAAAATTGAAAAAACAAGAAATTATAAAATCGGAACATTAAAAATCTAAAAATTGTAAAAATAAAAAAAATAAAAACAGAAACGAGAAATTACAAATAGAAAATTTGGAGAACTGAAAAATTAAATAGATAAATTGAAAAATTAAACATCGAAAAATCTTTCAAATTGAAAAATTGGAAAATCTAAAAAATCAGAAATTCAAAAGTTGTAAAACTGAAAAACTGATTTAAGCTTGAAAACTCGAAAAATTGCAAATCGAAAACCTGGGGAAACAAAAAAAAAAATGAAAAATTGAAAAATTCAAATTAAAATAGCTGCAGGAGTGTTATTTACGCCACTGGTTTTAACTTTATAGAGGTTATCAAAAAATAAAAATTTTTTCAAGGAGCAGGATTTGTTGGGCTGTACTTCAGGAGCAAGGGAAGTTCTATGGAAATAACTTTTGACTAAATTTTTAGATTCTACTACTATCACAGGATAAAACAACCAAGTTAGCAGTATTCAACTTTATTTAGAACATGGTGTCCAAAATAATAAAATAGGACAAAACAGTAAAAAACGTTCTTAAAAATTTCCGATTCTCTCTATCCATAAAATCTGATTTACTTTTTTTGCAAACTGACCGCAACATTTAAATTTAAAACAGTTACTTGTATCACAAGGCCAGAAACTACGCAAATGCATGTTCTGGGCGAGTCAGATGCAAGATTTTTTGTGTCGATTTTCGTATGAATAAATTATTATCATTGTGTACATAAAAGAGACTAAACAACCTTGCATTATCTACTTTATTAATGCCTAAAATAAGGTGAACCTGTGTATTTTAACAGCTACCTTAAATTTTAGCTCAAAACTTGGATAAAACTTTGCGTTTTTTCAGAAAGATGCAGCAGAAAACCCTCTTGTCAGTGACAGAATAATTTTCTGAAAGTAAATTATATTAAATTTCTTAGCTTTAAAGGAAAAATTATTTTCTTAATACAAACAAAAAAATGGGCAAGGTTATTTACTCTCCTTGAAGTACAGTCCAACAAATTCAGCTTCTTCGAAAAATTATGAAATTAAAATATTCCTTCTAATTTAAAGTACAGTATGTGTTGCTAAAGTACAGATAAATTAGTTACAGTGCAAGGGGTTGTATATATTTAAAGATCAACGTTATTGCGAGAAATATTGAATAATAAAAATAATTATAATAATAATAAACAAATTCAAGACACATTCATAAACCACAAATACAGGAGTATGTTATTTTATAAAATTTATATGAGATGTAAATACTAAGCAATGTTTTGCGGGGACGTCATCAAATGGTTGGTGGGGACGACTAGACAAATTTTGAGTAGCGTTTGACCATGTACACGGTACTCGAAAATGCATAGAAAATTTTAGAGAAATCGGTCCAGTAGTTTCGGAGATTGATGTGTCTAATAAAAATCGACACAGACATCAAACCACAGACAGACAATCGGAAACGGGAGATCAATTTTTCGTATCCGAGGGGCTATGAAACGTCTAGAAACAGTCGCCTAATAGACTCTATTACAATTTATTGTAAAAATAACGGCAAGTTAGTAAACCCCTTGTATTGAAGTACAGGGTGAGTCACCCTATATTTTTTTCTTAGGTGTATTTACGTATGCAGTGCTCGTGGGTGATTATTTTCCGTTTGAAAACGTAATGTCATTACTTTTGGCTAATAAATATGAAAGTTATTCATTTTGTGTATTATTTTTTTTTTATTTAAATACGATTTATTAAGTCATAGAACGTCGATAAAACATTAAAGTAGCCATTCACTAAATAAACTAGATTCTTTTTTGTTCGATTGAAACTTTAAATGGTAAGAATGTGAAAACTAACTTTAGTCATTTTGATATAAACTCTAACGATCTTGAAAACAAAAACAAGTTTAAAACCGTACCCAAAATATTGTACTATCACCCTTCTTAATAATCAGTAACTACTTATTGTTGATTAACTTGTTTAAGTTTTCTTTCCAGTTCAGTTAAATAAGTACATTTTTCTTCCTTAAATGTTACTTTCAAATTCTTCGAGTAAGAATATATTTCGAAAAAACGAAATAGTGCGAAAGGGGATTTTTTCGCCAACACCATGAACGTTCTACTTTCAAACACAGGTCCAGCTGTTTCGAGGGAAATTTTTATAAACTCACATGGTGTAAACAGCAACCTCGCAACAATTACCATGAACCGGCAACTTATTTATGGGACGAAAGTGCAGATAATGCAGTGTAGGCTGAAAAATCATTAATAAATCGATTGCAAGATAACGATGAAATGAAAGTTTTATTCTGGTGTTACAAAAATTGCTCCTGATAAATGGCGGGCGACGATAAACTGTCGCAACAATTCATTTCGAGAAAGTGATTTATTTACCACACATTAAAATTGGTACAAAACGCACTCTGCAAACAAGCCGTTCACGAGAGACCGTCACTATTACATCTTTTAACAAAAAAATAGTCTCAGTCTAATTTAGTTCTTCGTAAGGTAACCACTTCATGAAAACCACAAACCATTTGAATAATTATATATATACGCCGTAACGAGATTGTAACACTTTATTAACAAGCATGAACTTATTTATTGACTATAATTTGTAAAATTACTCAAGCCGAACCTAATTGTCAACGAATAAGATGCTTAACTATTGTTACCTAGCTTCCATACTAAAAATTTTTCTATTGTTATAGAAAGTACCCATTGCTTCTGGTGCTCTTACGGTTGTTTCGTTTTATTTTCAGCTAAAGGGGAGTGTACACCTCATAGAGTGGACGATGCATTTTTGCTACGGTTCTTAAGAAGTAGGAAATTCAGCTTAGAGGCAGCCCACAAACTTGTAAGTATTATAACAATCATTCCGTGCTCGAAACAATAACATAAATATAGTTAGTTAATTACTGTGACCTCAGAGAAGACAACCCTCAGTTCGTCGACGGAATTGGCTTTGAACTTTTGGAAAAAGTCGGAGAACTCGATGTAATTAGTGTTCCACCTTACAAAGACCAGGCAGGAAAAAGAATACTTTTATACAAGATTGGTACGTCAGGTTAATTACAATAAAGTAAGATGTTTTAGTTCACCGAACAAACATGAGAGATTGCATGTAATTAATAGTTTTATGAACTACTGACTCCTTCACGGAAGTGAAAACTGCGTTAATTTTCTTAATGGTTTTCTTTAACTAGGCAAATGGCATCCTGATACATTCACGGTAGATGATGTATTGAGTGCATCATTGCTAATTCTGGAATTAGCAATCCTTGAACCAAAAGCCCAGATGATGGGAGGTATTTGTATCCTGGATTTCGAGGGAATCACCATGCAGCACGCATTATATATGACTCCAGCTCTAGCCCGTAAGGTTATCCAGATCGCCGTGGTAAACAGGTTACTCTTGTCCATAAAGTAATAATTCTTGATATATGTTTTTTAAGTCGTCACAACCCATGAGACTAGAAGCAATGCATGTCATTAATAATTCCTGGATGTTTGAAACCTTCTTCAATTTTTTTAAACCTTTGCTGCATGACAAAATGAAAGAAAGACTGTACTTCCACGGAAACGATATGGAAAGTCTACACCAACATGTGGACCCCAAATGTTTGCCCGACATATACGGGGGGATGCAACCGCACTACGATTACAAGGATTGGTTAGATGGGTTCCGTAAAAACAAGTCGATTCTTAAGGAGCTAAATCGTCAAGGATATGCAGTACCACAACCATGAAATTGTTTTTTGTGTTTAGCAAAGTGTCCTACTTCAATCCAGTGCATCTTTAAATCTGGTGTCAATGCGTTGTTCCCGTTAAGAAACTTTCTCAGTTCTTAGTAACCTAAAACCAGTAGAATTTTTCGACGCCAGATTTAAATGATCACCTGATATTTATAGTAGATACATTCAGTTTACAAGAACATTAGCCAAATATATAACTTTTGTAAAAGCTAGGTAATTGAAGTGGATGTGTTATTAATTGCCATCTTTTGTAACTGATAACAATAAAAAATGTATGTACATAAATTACGTTTTATTATACTGTTTCATCTATTTGCATTTATCGCTAATGATTTCTGAATACCCCTGATACAATGTAGGTATACAAAATGTTCAGTATTGTCACTGTATTTGTATGTGTTTTAGAAAATAGCCACGCAATAGTAATAATAAAATTTCATAATTTTTTATACTACAGGTACAAAGTATACGAATTCAACTGGTCTCCAGTTGTGTCAATTATTGATATAAACATTTTTGTTTGTTACTATTAATGTCGAATAGGTAATACAATTTTTTTCAACTTGCTTGGTGTTTTACATTTCAAACCTACTGTGACATGTATGATCTAAAAGGTGAGTATTTTTTTACGGCGTAATTATACCTGTTTTTAATTAACCTTAGACATCAAGTTTACAATGAAGTGAGTTACAGCAGTAATTTTCTTTATAATTATACGTATTGCATAATTTAATGTTGGCTAGGTAATAAAAAAAATGTAAAACATGTAATGGGAAAAATTAAAGTTGTATTTCACATTAACACAGTACCTATATGGCTTTATAAATCAACAAACAAAATTGCTCAGCTAGTTTTTATTTGTCTATCGTTAAGACACGTTTAAAGGGGTGACGTTATAGATATTTTTCCATTACTACCTTATACCGAAAGAGCAATAAAAACACCGTCAAAGATAGCTATGCTTTAAAGATTTTTCTTTGATGGAATTTTTGTGTTGTCAGATTACCGTCGATTTGAATGTACATATTATAATACAGATATAAACTTTGACAACAATCGGTCGAGTAGTTTCAGAGATTGTCTATCTAATAAAAATCCGGATAGCCGGTAGACAGACAGACGGACGGAAACGTATATAAGTATTTTGGGTTGCCTATTTTCAAAACATAAATGGGTGATCTTAGCTGAATAACCCTGTATAATTTTTCATGTATGTAATATCAGAGTTTTGCACCATTATATTCAATTCTTGTACACTATTTTAAAATATTTACTGAAAAACAAACAATCTGTGATATGATAATTTTTTGACACACGATGATTTTTTTTATACCAGTATAGTCTTTTGTATATTTGTTGCTTTTTTATCATAGTGCGCAATTTTTTGGTATTGTAGTCAACTCTGAAGCAAATTTTTAAGTTTTAAATTTTAAATATAACCTGTCCACAAAATGCTCTATACAGGGTGTTGTGTTTTATCCAATCAAGAATAAATAGGTATAATTAATTTATTTTAGTAAATCCTAGCAACAAAAAAGCAATAAATAGTAACCACAAAAATCACGGTGCTATAGAACAAAATTGACAATTTAAAGATTTTGAAATATCTTTTGCCTATTAATTATGTCAAATTAGCAAAGAAAAAATCCGCATGGAAGCATGGAGCCGGTTAGTACTGAAATTGAAATTAAATTGAAATTGAATTGAGATTGAAACTGAGATTGAGTTAATTGGTGCATAGTACACAAATGTTTTACACAAGTCAGCGAATACAAAATTACCAAAACTTAAAATTATATTTCACCAAAGTCACACTTCCAATATTCTCTTATGCTATATAGTACCCGACTTGTTAAGATTTTTTTAAATTTATTGTTACGAAATAAACCCACACGCCCCCCCCGGTACGACCTTTATGGGTTCTAGTATGTACGGCGATGATGGATGACTCATCGTCGGTGACGACGGCCGAGCGGCAATTGTTAAAAAAAAAGGAATTATTGTGCACATAATCGCTGTGTGGTCAGTCGTGTAAATCTGAGTTACTAAGAAATAAATTGTTGAGTTTTGCTCACGCCTATTTTAAATACCCGTTCAACGTAACATTATTATTAAATATACCAAGTGGCAAATGCTTAACATGATCGGATAACGCGTTATAGAAACAAATTCCGCAGTGTCTGGTACCACTTTGTGTAATCTGGATATATATTGTCCTTTTTCCTGGTGGTATAGGAGTGTACTTCTCTGTAACTTGCATAAGAATCGATATTTTTCTTAACATACCTACTCTAAACACTGTAAAATAAATAATGATGAAATAAATGTCAAAATCTGCAAGCTCCGAAACGCGTTTTGATCACCTCTATATTTCAAGTAGGCAATAACTCTAACAACCCGCCTCTACAATGAAAACAAGCGATGAGAAGTGGAAGAATAACCCCAAACCATATAATACCATAGGATGGATTGAAATAATGCGGAGTATGCAAATTTGTGGTACCCGTCCTTTTAATTGTCGTAGTAAATACACTTATTATTGTGGTTAATTTGGCAGCTAGCTAGCATGCGGATGCCACAGAAGTTTATTATCAATATTAATTCCCAAGAACATACTGGTACTAGTTTTCTCTAAATCAACTTTGAACTCATTAAAAGTAAATTACCGATTTTTTGTTATTAAGCAATAATTTATTGCTGTCGAACCAGTTTTTAACTTTTGACATCCGCATAAAGTACTGACAGTGTTTTGTCGATACAACCAGGTAAATAGAATACTAACACTAATAACGCGATTCTAAGGGTAACGAGAATTAGTTGGTACCGCATCAATTCGTCGCGCACAATTCGTCGCGCGACAATTGATCGCAAACAACTGATCGCAGCGACAATTGATCGCAAACAACTGATCGCAGCGTCAATTGGTCTCAGCGACAACTGGTCGCAGTCACAATTCGTCGCAAGTACAACTGGTCGCATGCGACAATTGATCGCGGGCGAAAAATGATAGCGTTTATAGAGAAAATATGTAATTGTTATGAATGAGGAAAATAAAATAAAGTTCTATATTCTCAAAAATTTCATTATTTCTAAAAAGGTGTCAAAATAAATACATACGAGTTCCATAAAAACAGTAACTGTTAGGCTCATTTCCGACTAAACCAAAGTGCAAAAAAGTGAAAATATTGTAAAATATTTTTTTTAATGCTGACACATATTTCGTCGGTATGCTACTGTAATGTTCATTTGGATTATTCGTCGTATTAATTAGACACTCAAGTAAGTGATTCATGCTTTTTTTCTCACAAGTTTAAAGTTTGTCAATTAAACGAGTGAAAAAAATTGCTTTCAAAACGTGTTACACACGTCATTTTTTAAAAGTAAAAAATGGCTTCAAAATTATTAGAACTGTCAAATTAAAAATTTATAGATTTATCATAATCAATGAAATCGTGAAAAAACTCTCGTTACAGTTTTAAGTGAAAAAGTATTATGTTCATTACGTTTGATAGTTTAAAAAATTAAATATATATATTTTTTAATAAATTTGGTGCAAAGAAATTTGAATTTATATTTTAACAATTAATCTTGGAGTTTACTACATTCTTTGCAGAAAATTTTTTGGTCACTACAAATTAGTTCTGGATTATCTTTAATCCATGATAAAACCAAAGATGTTTTTTCATTCAGAACTTTTTTGAACGCTCACACTGTTAATGAGGCACTTGTAGATACGAAAGAATTAATAATTTATCTCATTCCCTTTGCTAAGTACTTACATACCAATCTCCACTTTTACGCCATTTGTGTAAACAAGATCGTAAAAAGATTAGTTTTGACCATGGAGCAAAGAATATACTCATACTGGAGGAAGTGCTAGACTATTAAAATGATGGTTTCGAGCCAAACCGGTAAAGTGTCATAAACAGTACTCCGCATTACACAGATAATACTGGCGATGACAGTGACGTACAGTTTTTTTTTTTTTTTGAAGCGGCTCATGGAATAAAACTTGTTGAATAAAACAACGCACATAACAGATTTATATGATTTATTAATTAATATTATTTAAAATATTTAAATCAATCAATACATCACGAATAACAAGTAATACAAACAGTGAATATTGTTAAAAAGTAGAAACAACCAGGATGACGACGCCACTGAGTAGTGGTTATTCGCAATGGCGTGACTAATTTTTAGCTTGGGAAGTTTGAAAAGTTTATTGAGGGGTATTTCACTCGGAATTATTTGCCAATCTGCCGGATGTAGGTGGGCAGATGTAAACTGCGGCTTTAATCTTCTCCAGCCCATGTTGTAAATTTTTGTAGGATGCAAAGTGCGGAGAATAATAAAATCAGGTAGCAGCCCGTAGCAGGATCGTTCATAGAAAACTGCGAACCAATTATTTCTTCCTTTTTTTTAGATCTAAGAGCTGTTTTATACGTCACAGAAATATCTATCGTAAAAGGAATTTTTAGAAATAATTTTCTCGTGATTAATCGGTTACAAAAGATCAAGAGGCACTCGAAGCAAGCCCTGACAAACTTATTAGCGACGCCAGAGGAGATCTCCAGCTGGCTGTGGTACCACCACACTCGCGTAACCTCCTTTTCCAGAATTGTCAAAATGACATTGCCAAACTCAAAGCAATCATGGATTAAGCATTTCATTTTAAATTCAGTTAGTATCAAGTGGTACATACACGGTATTCGTATTTTGGGTTGCGTAAAAATAATTTTCAGAAGTAACTTTCTCGTGACTAACCTTGTATATGTATTTTTTACACCCACATATGGTACAACTGAATTTTTCTTCAGTACAATACTAGTCACATAATAATAATTAAACAGTAAGTTTTTAGTTGCATAAGTACTTACATTTCTTAGATTTCCCGGTAACACAAAATTATTCTTGACGCTCTAACAAAAGTTTTTGCAATATCTATTTACAATACACGTAAACCTTTCTGAAACCCTGTAAAAGATCCGTTGCAATTTACAAGGGATTAAAATAAGTATTACTCGTATATCCGTCCAGTGGAATTTACATTCGCTGCATATGGATACTCTAGATGTACTATTAGTTCATAAATTTTATTGTTGGTGATATGTATAAAGATAAGAATAGACAATAGAGGCAATTCTGTATCAAAATGTGTCAAAATTTAAAGGTTGTTCAAAATATGATTTTTTAAATAATTGTATAATAAATCTAGTTAAGAACAATAAACACTTTTCTTTATGTTGAGTACTTATTATAATGAAGCTAGTTCCTATAATATA